TACGAAATTTCTACCAGAAGGAGCTCTTCGATTTCAACATATAGTACCTTCTCTTTTAGCGAATTGGATCAAGATGGTACTTTAGACAGGTCATTTTTCGATTTTCTCAATAGTTTTTTAATTCAACAGGAAAAATCACTGAGAAATTACGAAAAACCGCTAAAAATAGGATTTTAACTTAACACTTTGTTTAACACTATAGAAGCGAATAAAAAACAATAACAACTATTATAATATAAATTCAGCTTACAGGATATAATAAATAATGAAAATATCCAGACTGACAAACCGTCTAAGTTCAGAATCGTTTTTCTTATACAATGATATTAGATCATTGAATTCAAGTTCAATAACATATTTTATACATTGACCACTTTTAATCTACTGTACAGCATAGGGACATCCACTAACCCACTTTTATATTTGAACGCAAACCACTCTAACGGGCAATTATTTCGAAGGAACCTTTTCGTTGTTACTTGTTGTCCTCGGGCCTTATGTAATTCCAGGAAATGTTTACACGAAGAAGTACAAATACAATGGCGTATCGTCGATTTGGCGCGCAGCGCAGACATCGCCTTTAAGGATAACGGACTTGGATATATAGGTCAGGGTATGACTGGACAGGGTCGACTGAAATTCAGCATTGTGCACTTAGATAATAATATGTGTTTGTGTGAGTGTGTGGGATTGTGTGTGTGTGTGTGTGCGTTTGTTTATTTGTTTGACTGTAGACGCCAAAGGTGATGAATGATGTCTCGGAATTCGACACGGACAAATTTTATGAAAACGCACCATCAGCCATACAATTTACCGGATACTCGTTTTTCGGTTTTAATGGACCTCGGACGACTTAAATAATATACCTAATAATATTGCACCAACTATATGATAGTATTATTATACTCCAAGTACTTCCGATTTCTGCTACGACAAAACAGTGGCCGTCCGACTGTTCGAGCCCGTCTACAGCGAGATCACAGTACTCTAGAATACAGGGTGATTACGCGATTGACTATATTAATGTCCGTGTTACGTCCTCTTAATAACTGTCTATGTGTAAACAATTGATTATTTTATAATATTTTGCCTCTACAATCTACATTTACTATACCTACTAAGTCTCTGCATTTCAATAGTTTTGATTGATATTATTGTCGCTTCCGTTAATAAAAACGGTACCTAAATATATCTATCGACAAACTAAAATATCTGAAAAATGTGGGTGGTAGGTATATATATGCATTAAAAATAACGTTACAAGACCAGTAAAATAATATAATATAGCCTTTTTTCGGCAACCTGTTGGATTCGGTCTGCAATATAGTTTACAGTGGGTAATGGGTATACGAAGTACGAACCAATCGAAGTCTAATCCAAACCGATTCGCATAATACGTCATACAATTTATCATACTTGTAAGACGGAGATAACTGTGTAGCGTCCTATTAATATAGGTATATACCTACAGCGGTATAAGATTAATCAATTCTAATTTCTAAGATTATTTTAAAATTTATATTATATTTTTTTTAAAATAGAACAATTAAAGATAAATTATTTTATATCACAAAGTGTACAAAATGAATAATTGTTTTGTAAGGTGGACACAAATATTAACCACCCATATATGTAAAAAAACGTATTCTTCACGGTGTTGACACCAACTACTTGATACTTGATAAAGTTATAATCTTACTAAATAGAAATACTTCACTGTATGTCTATACAGTATAGGTATATTATAAATTATTAAGAGTTGGTAATAAGTAAAATGTTGGTATAATTGTTTAATACAAGCAAATATTCGAATTATAATATTTATTTAATACATTTGTATTCGAAATAATTTTTTTTATATTTTATGGTTATAATTAAATTGATTATATATTTGCGAACCAGGCTATAAAAAAAGAATTCAAAGTGCTCAATGGTCGTTCAAGGGTTGTTTATTTATTACAAAACTAATGGTTCTGATATTTTATGAAATTATTTTTTAAAGAAAAATTTTATGAAATATTTCACGAAACTTTCATGAAATATTTTATATTATTGAAAGATAAAAAAAACAAATTTTAATTTAAAACTATAGTAGAAAGTACAGATAACATTTTTCCTTAGTGATATTTCTTATTTTATTTTTATTGATTAAACCCGCGGAGGCCATTGGGTGTCGTTAGTTAGGTGTTAAATTATATTATAGAAATACTTCTTACATAGTACATGCTACAAATTACATAATAATTATCTATCTTGTATTTATATACTGACTTCTTTATAACATGGTCAGGAATTAAATACTGATAATCACTTATGAAGTATGAAATCAATATCACCAGATCTGATGATGATTTTAGAAACATTATACCAAAAAACAAAGTTAAAAAAAAATTTAAACAAATAATTTTTTCGATATCTATTTAAAAGTGAAAATTCATGTGAAACTCATAACGGCTGTACTCATTATATTCATTTGTAAATTGATAGAACATAATATTATTATGTATTTAATATTAATTAATAATAAAATAGCTAATAATATATTATGCAAAATTAATATCAAGTGGCAATTGATTCTGCAAAGGATTTTTCTCTCTGTTCATATTGTATGCATGTATTTACCGATTTTTATTCTAAACCGTTTATACCTACTTGTTGCACCTTGTAATGCACGTTGTAAAAAAAAAACACGTAAACAAATACAATTTTTGGATCGAGGAGAGATTTATCGTTCACTTTAATTACCGTTAGACAAGCACTCAGGACCTCTAAGTGCATGTTGTGGTGATTGGTAATTATCAGTATTTTTTTATAATATAATTTATATTGTTCACATAAGTTGTACTCCTATAGTGTATATTGTACAATTTTCGTCTTGTACGTGAAATATTTGAACATCAGATATTTTAACTTCATTTTTAGTTTCTTTTTATTTATTACTATTTCATACGGAGTAAACTCCATTTGAAAAAACAAATTACAGCAGAAAAACGTATGTTACACATCAGCAGGCCTTGTAAGTTCTAGCAAATGCATATTTTTCTTGGTGCGTACTTGAACATACAAAGTAAGATACAAAAATATGTTTCACACTACTCAGATGTCATACACGAAATTTAGTTTTGCTATTTGTTTGCATATTTACGGTTTTTATTGCTATTTTGGTAATTTAGGGTTTAAGTGCTATTTTTGGGTATATTTTTATAATATTATACATAATATAGGAAATTAATTAATTCTTAAAGTATGTTTTTGTTTTTTCATAGTAAGCAACCTAGTTTTTATTTTAGGTCTACGAAAAACTTCATACTACAATAATAATTGATCTTTATAATTATTAAAAAATTGAGTTTACAGTTACATTAAAATTATTTATTTAAAAATAAACAAATACAATCGATATTAAATTATTACTTTAGATATAATGATATTTTTTTTGTTTTTTCATAGTAAGCAAAGTAGCTTTTGTTTTAGGTCCAAGAATAATTTCATAGAACAATAATTATAGATACTTACAATTATTTAAAAATTGAGTTTACAGTTACATTAAAATTATTTATTTTAAAATAAACAAATACAATCGATATTAAATTATTACTTTAGATATAATGATATTTTTTTGTTTTTTCATAGTAAGCAAAGTAGCTTTTGTTTTAGGTCCACGAATAACTTCATAGGACAATAATTATAGATATTTAAAATTATTAAAAAATAGAGTTTACAGTTACATAATAATAATTATTTATTTTAAATTATTTAATACAATCGATATTATATTATTACTAGCTGTCACCGTGGATAGTCGTTTGCAAATTTGTATTACTGTTTTGTAGCTCCAAAAATCCGGTCTATCTATCTTTCAACGTTTTGTTTTATATGAAGAGTAATTCACCTATATCGCGTATGTAGAGTAGTGTAAAACTGTTAAAAGTTTTAAAGTAAGTATCAAAGTCGTATCGTACGAAAGCGGAAAAATCCTAGATACCTGTGTGCCATGCTTAATAGATATTACATTTAGAACTGTATATTATATTTAATCAATTTATTATTGACATTTTTTCATAAGATCGAAAAATTCAACCGATTTATTAAAATAATAATTTCTTAATTTCTATTATGTTTACTGACAATTTTTTATAAAATTGATATTTTTAAATAACTATTTACATAACAAATTAATTTTGTTCAAATGATATACCAATGTGCACCATTGGTGCTTATGTCATGTTATAGATGTTTGTAAGTAAGCGTTTAATTTAACTTTTGTTTTTACTTAATTCTCATACATGATATTAATTTTATCTTCAACTAAATTTTTCCTAGATAAGCTCTTCCTTTTAACACCATTTGTGTAGCTGCCAAGGTTTAATTTTGCTCTTTTTATTTTAATTAGATTCTTCAAAACTAACAACTAAAACTACAACAATCATAACAAATAGCTACATTACAATAAACAAAAAATATATTATTATTTAGTTCATTTTTTTCCAGTACAGATGGTGCCACTGTTGTATTTTTGACATCTAGATTTCCTACTTTTCCTGTATATTTTCCTAAAATTTTCTTTCATAACATCTTGGTCCTGATAATTACAAACATAACAAAAAAAGAATCAGCCAAATCGGTCAAGCCGTGTCGGAGCCAACCTGTGACACAAAATCTGGATCTGCTTTTATAGTAGAGATTATTGATGTAATACCTAATATTTTTTTTTGTTTTTTTCAGAGTAAGCAATGCAGTTTTTGTTTTAGGTCCACGGAAAACTTCATATTACCATAGGTAATAATATATTTTTACAATTATAAAAAAATAAGTTTACTGTAACAAAATAATTATTTATTTTAAATGATTTAATATAATCGATATTATATTATTATTCAGAAAATTACAGTTGTTAAAAAAACTATAAAGGTTTATATATAAAAAAAAAAAACATTATAATATTTACAATAAAAAAGGTTTACACAATATATGTACAAAATAATGAAGTGCATAAACTTTTATAAATGACGGAATCTAGATGGATTATAGATAAAGTCTTGGTGATATCTTATCACCATATTGGGAGATCTACGGGTCACTATGCTGGCATCCAGCGGAAATGCTCCATCCCTTCCTTCCCATTCGACGAAGTAGTAAAGTTGCCGTCGCTTCTTGAAACATCCAATTATTCTGATTGGCATGAGACGGTGCTTGTACCCGTTGAACACACCTTGGCCTCCCACTAGCTCCGAACTCCTGATACCCCTCCTGAAAAAGAGTTAAGACAATTAGCCGTGAGATAGGTATAAATTACAGTCACTCAAGTGCTCAATAATATAATAACAAAAGAGTTCATTGACATGTTAAAAAGTTGAAGTTAAGTTAAAGTTAAGTTAAAAAGTTGATTTTTTTCACCTTCTTAACTTAACTAGTCAATTAATTTTGTTCTCAACTTATTCAGTTAAAAATGGTATTGTTGTAACTTAACTTTTTACAGTTAATTATCATTGTTGTGCAGTTAAGTTTATTTTCGTTTCGTGACATGCTTTATGAACTAGACAGTACTGATACGTTGACCCTTTTTCGATTTTAGTAATTTCTTTTCGAATTCTATATTATAATAATCTACTTTTTTACACAGTGTTAAACGTCTTGGTAAATTTTTGTGTAAAACAAAATACTAATGAAATTAATGACTTAAAAATATTGTAACTTGAAAAAAATTAACTATTATTTAACTGTGTTAAGTTAATTTTATTACCTTAACTTTGAACTTATCTAGTTAATTTTTTTTTTTTGTTAATTTTTAAATTAACAGAAGTCAATTTAATTGAATTAACTTAACTTACCACAGTTAATTATTTTAATTTACTTTCCCACCATTTCCAGAGCAACATAATATATAAAATACATAGAACCAGACGTAGCACTGGGTACCTCTACTTTCATTAACCTTCGTCTCTAAACTAATTCAAAAACAAATGTATATTTTTTTATATAGATCCAATCAAAGTTAAATATTCATTTAAGTATTCACTTCGGCCGTGACACACACAGGTTTTTTTATATTTTGTCCTATAATTTTACAATCGTTATTATAATTAAAGATTATTTTAATGTAAATAGTACATCCGTGGGAAATAGTACTTTGTACTTTGTACATAATGTTAGTAAGTATTTATAATAATATAATTTAATGTTTAGTAAGATTGTTTGCTTGACATTTCAAATATATAGTAATGTAAACATTTATAATCTAATTATTTTTCAAATTTTTATGATTAAAGATTATTTTCATGTAAATAGTACACCCGTAGGAAATAGTACTTTGTCCTTTGTACAATATGTTATTAGTGGGTATTTCTAATAAAATAAATAATATAATCAGATAATATATCAAATAGATTATTTTTCGATTTTAGTAATTTATTTTCGAATTATATATTATAATTACAAAATTTTTTACACAGTGTTAAACGTCTTGGTAAATGTTTGTGTATAATAAAATACTATGGCAGTTAATGAGTTAAAAATATTGTAACTTGAAAAAATATTAATTTATTTTTAACTGAGTTAAATTTAAACTTCTCTAGTTATATTTTTTTTTTCACTTTTCACTTAACTGAAGGCAATTTAATTGAATAAACTTAACTTACTATAGTTAATTATTTTCATTAATTTGACCACCTTTGTAAGATAGTTACGGTCCGGGGAGGGAGGGAGTGAGGGACTGTGTCGTTACGTTAATGTGTAATACAATCTACAATGTCTTTGTAAGTATCCATCTGCTAACCATAAAAGAAAATGAATACGTTTCAAGCTGAATTCATTAATGTTCTAATTTTTTTCGTTGATACGAGAATATAATATACCTATCTTTTAATATTTTGCCATTGTTATTTTGTATTTAGTACTTATAATCGGTCCAAAGTTGGTAGAAACGAGATGGTTTTGGGTGGGAAGGAGCGATGATGTACTCGGTCCCCCTTGTACTCTCCACCGAGGTAGGTACCTACGCGGAGAACGAAAATTCGTGGCAAAATCAAGCGCTGGCCGTTTGGCACTGAAATTGTTGTAAATAGAGTGCATTAATATTTGATATTTATGTCTCATCAGTAAGGTTCGAATTTGAAGGCAAAAACATTTTATTAAATAACAATAATAGAGAAATAATTTTTATATAAAAATGCGTGTCATTAATATGTAAAATGATGAACGTATTTTTTTTGCCTTTTTTTACTGATAATTGCCTTTATTGTATTTAATTTTTAATCGATTTAATAGTTTTATACACGAAATACATATAACAGATCGATAAGCATTTCTGTGTCGGCTGTTAATTATTTTTAATGGGTTTTAATATCGACGATATTTACCAATATCACTAAATACTTTATCGAGTATTTAGTATACATAACAAATTCACGCACGTTTAGCTGTGGTTAGTATAACAATTAGAGTGAATCGACTTATTATCAAACTTAACGGTAAGTAAGAATTATCTGTTTTTTTTTTTAGATGGATATATTTTCCAGCATGTTTAATTCGTTGTAAAAAAAATAACTCACAAACAAACACAGCTAACGTACTTACCGTTGAGTTTCATAATAATATAAGTCGATCACTCTAATTTATAAAAAAATGTCAAAACATTTATTTTTTCAAATATTAAGAATGAGATGGTTGTTTACAAATTAAATGAATCCTTTAGTATACTCAATTACCAACTATTATAATATTATTCAAACCTTTATTTTTCTCCTACCAATCATTTATATGACATTATACTATACAAATTATTAATAGGTATGTTACTATTATTATATATATTTTTTTTTTTCATTCAAATTTTAATTATGTAAATAACATCAAAACTGCTAAATAAATATTTATTATTATACTATTATACTAATGTAACACTGAATTATTATTATTTGCTTTAATTTTTAAATTAACGAAACTTAAACTGTTGATCGTACATTTTCTATATTATGTGACTCTAAAAGAATGTAACTTGTAAAAGAGGAGACAATAAACGCGAGTGTCCTATCAAACACACGTTTAACCTTTACTCCGCGTCCTACGTTTATCCTGCGCTTTAGATATCCCCTTTTTTTAAATAAAAATAATAGAGAAATAATATTTATATAAAAATGTGTGTCATTTAATAATATGTAAAATTATGAACGAATTTTTTTTTTGCCTTTTTTTACTGATAAATGACATTTTGCCTTTTTCACTTATAAATGCCTTTATTGTATTTAATTTTTAATCGATTCAATAGTTTTATACACGAAATACATATAACAGATCGATAAGATTTTCTGTCGGCTGTTAATTATTTTTAATGGGTATTAATATCGACGATATTTACCGATATCACTAAATACTTTATCGAGTATTTGGTATGGCCAGTTAGTTTAAAGTTTTTAAAAGTACCCATACTACCTATCTATAGATTAAAATATGTTCATAATGCGTATACATTTACTATAGATTCAAAAATGTTCGTTATTCCGACCTGATTATATTTTCTATTTACACAAATATTTTAAGCCAAAACCAGCAACGTTTTACTAAAGACAGTTTATCTAAGTACATGATAGTGATTTTTTATTAATACACACTAGTTAAATATACAGTATTCAAACAATTTAATTTTTAAGTAAATTTTTTTTGTAATTGCTTTTTTACATAAATTAAATGATTTTTTTGTTGATTTTTTTGAAATTACTTTTTATGCATTATTACATTTTAAGAACCAATTAATAAAATGGTTTTATGTAAATGATCATATTATGCCTAAGTGTGATTTACATACTGCTATGATTCTTTCTTTTAATTTATTTTTTCGTAAGCCAGAGGTAAAACCAGTCGACCTTGACCTTCATCGATATTTAGATGAACATTTTTTCAATCGTACCAAAAATTAACATTAGTCATATCAATATCGTCTGATCGCATATATCTTATTCTTAAAAGTAAGTTACGAAAGCATTTATTGTCGTCTCTTTCTCACAAGTGGCTAAACATAATTTTTTTTTTCACAATTTTTTTATATAACTACATAACCAGTACTTTATGATTATTATTAATAATTATTTGTTTTTTTTCTTTGAGACTTACGTCTATCAATACAAGGAAACATCCTTAGTGATATACGTTGCAACTTGCAGTGTATCATTAAAATATTAATTATGTAAATAACATAAAAACTGCTAAATAAATATTTATTATTATACTATTATACTAATGTAACACTTCATTATTATTATTTGCTTTAATTTTTAAATTAACGAAACTTAAACTGTTGATCGTACATTTTCTATATTATGTGACTCTAAAAGAATGTTACTTGTAAAAGAGGAGACAATAAACGCGAGTGTCCTATCAAATACACGTTTAACCTTTACTCCGTGTCCTACGTAAATCCGGCGATTTAGATATCGAAAGACTGTGAACCTTATACCTTTCTGGCCGAACGATTGAGAACACAAAATTAACAAAGAACTTACCACTGACCAAAAAAAAAAAAGCAAAAAAAAATACGATTGAGAACGAATTTACGTGCAACGTTGCCATATCATTTATTTGGCTATTGAAAGATTCATGCCCGTATGCATAAAATAAATATTCTTTAAAAAAGTCATCAATTAATAATTATAACCTTATACAAATATATGGACACCTACTAATATGTAATACAAATATATGAATAAAAAATGTAAAATAATATGTATATTGTACAACTTATATGTAATATTAGATGTAGGTATAGCATTAGTTATACTTCAATCATTTTTACAAATTATTTATATATTGATAGATCATTACTAATTACTATCATTTTCAGGTCATCTAAGACCCCAAATCTACTTGACCTAAAAGGGCATAAATATATAAATTATTATTAGTGCCTTGACTCTAACTGACTCTAATTAAATTTATCAACCTTAGAAAAAAATTTGCAGCGTTCTCAATCGTATTTTAAAGGACGATTTCTATTCTGGCCATGCTGTTCCGTCGCATTACGACGCGACCGACGCGACGAAATACAAACTGTTTTTTTGTTTTTGTCGCATTTGTCAGATTCACGTTGGACACGGCGTTATATACAAAGTAAAATGTTTATTATAACAAAGAAAAACGTACAAATTTCAGATCGGGAAATAACAAAAGAACAATGTCATACATTCATTTTTTTTTGAACTTACGCCCGTCGGCTAAGGCCTTTAGCTGTTGTAGGGGCTATGAACTGTGGTAGGGTTAAGGTTGGTATGGTAGGTTGTTTTTAAAGTTGTTACAAGGTAGGTAGCAAACACGTGTACGTGTGGCAAGGTTTTTAACACTACTATGAACCCGGGTGGTCACCCATCCGGGAGCTAGTAGCTGTGGCCGTTACTTACTCCCAGTCGCCTTCCGCGACTGGTAGCGACCAACGCACCACGCCAAGCCATAAATATACGTTAATTATTAGTTTGTACACGCAATAATATATAATTGTATATCCAAATAAGTAGTGGCCGATCACCAAATACTTAACACGTCCTTATTCTTGTAGGTGGTTTGGTTGTTTGTAAACAAACACCGGTTATTGACCCACTATTATAAACCATAATAATAATATTACGGTACCGCTCATGCATGTAAACAATCGAGGTACTTACTGCTGGCTGTAGTACAAGGTCACCTATATTTTAAATATTATTTTATAGTGGTCTACATATCGCACTCACACATTCCTACACATTCATTGTTATTATATTATTTAATTACGAGAAAGCTACACCCCCGGATGTTGTCACTGGGTACTCTAAATTACTCTTATTTTAACTAACGCAGTTAAATATTAACACATTTAAGTACAGTCGAGACAATTTTTTTAATTTCATGTACGTATATCATTTGATACCTAAAACGAATGATAAGCTATATATGTCTACGGAGTATCTGTGAAAAACATAACAGTATAAAAATGCTCGTAACCTGCTGATTAATAATTAAAACGTACACCGTCGTAAAAAACAAGTAAACATAAAACAAATTTCGAGTGGAAGGGGAGAGAGCAATTTTTTATATTTTTTACATAGATCTGGTGGTCATCTGAACGACACTCTTCGTTTTTACGTTCAAAATATTAAAATCCTTAATTCTCGCTATTATACTGTCTTAACTTATAACTAAATAACTATAAAATAAAACTGTTCTTGAGACCTATGCCAATCACGTTTTGTACGTGTTACACAAGCACACGCCTTACAAGAAAACCTCTCACGCCTAATAGAGTAAACCGATTTCGATATTTTTTTTTTTAAGTTTTTCAAAACGCTTATCATACAAGGCTCATTGGACTCATATTCTAAAGATAATATTTCTCAACATTGTAAAACGATTTTGAATATGACCGAATTTCATAAGCTTTTGTTATTTGTATCATGTTTGTTTCAATAAGTAACGAAATTAAAAATTGACATCCAACAGGCCCTTTACAAAATTCTCCCTTTCTATGTAAAAATAGTTAACAAAATAAGACTACTCTACGATGCGTGAGGACACCTGTACGTATGCGTAGATAACCCGCATAAAATCACACCCACTTTTTTGAATTATCACTGACAGTGGCGACGAAATAGTTTTTTTATTATTATCATTTTACCTACAAGGCCTCGATTACAAAGGTCATTGGCCGTGGTTGGTGTATTACATGAAAATAATATAAAAGTGTATGTATATAGGTAATAAGGTAAATACATAAAAAGTTATTTAGTGGAAGACTTAAAAACTAGATAAAATGTACTTTTTTTTTTATTAAATGGTTTTATATAAATGAGTATCCTTGATGAAATTTAGTGTGTTGTAGATATTTATAATTTCGTTACCGAGGCATTCGGAAAGGCAATTTGAGATGTTGTGCTTACGAAATTGTTTATTACCTAACAATGGCCATAGAGACACACTTGCAGGCCCTTTCCTACGATATACATAGGTAGGTGGCCTGCGAACAATATTTTCTATACATTTTTTTCTGATTTTCGGAGGGGGGCTTCCCCGAAGTCACGACTTATCTGGTTTCTATAATCGTAATAATTGTGTATATTTATATATATATATATATATAGTTACCTGAGCGAGTGGCCCGTCTTTTCGTACCCGTAGGACAGTTTTCTGGAGTACGGTTGGTAAAGGTCTTCTTGTCGTCGTGGTACTCGCATTAAGTTTAAGATGGGTTCGACGACGTCGTTGTTCAGAATGAACGGCATGGAAGACGGGGGCGGTGGCGCCGGCGTCGGAAATCGCTTGTCCACTATTATCTCCTCGGGTTCCGACGAGTTTCCGACGCTGTCATATCCATCGTCGTCGGACTCGGACGTAAAGTTGTCTTGTGGTTCCGGTTGGAATAATTCCTCGTATTCTTCGTCTTCTTCGTCTTCTAACAGTCTCCTAAGATTGTCCATAACGATCACGATTTTATTTCGCTTTCGGCGTTGAATGATAATCGATTGCAGCTGTGCAACGGCGGCGGAGAGCTCTGCAGGTCGACTGATGGCGCACGTGTACGGACGACTCTGTAGAAAAGGTCGTAGGTACGCATCGCATACACAGCGCTCCGGTGGCCGACGTCTGAACACCACTCGAATTACTTATTTATTTCTACGGCTACGCGACTACAGCAGGGACCATAATATTATTGTTATCAAGTGTTTTTTTCAACCAGGCTGTATATTATGTCGCATTGTCGCTAGTGCTTCACCAAAAATATGTCCAAAACGATATAATTTTTTTTTGTAGTCTGTGTTCGAGTTTTGCGAGTGGTCCACCTTCCCACCACCCACCGACGACACGTCCGTACACACTTCACCTGTAGAGCCAACCGGTATGCGATTCCATTATAATAATTTAATTTATTTTATTTTGAATTTCTGTTCGCGTGTACCTACCGTGTACCTAAACACAAAACGGTAAGACATTATAGCGACGGACCGCGTGAACGTGACGCGTAAAAAATATTATGTTTGAAAATATGCGAATTCTGTTGGGATTTGTGTTAATTATTAAAATAATATTATGGTCAAATACTTAATAAAAAAAAAAAAAAACTCCTTCAAAATTAAAATCTCCATGAGCATTTTTACTAAATACGCATAACTTGCTAAGAAATTTATTTATCGTAGAAAAACACAGTCTGACGCAGATAATGTTCTTACCAACAAGTATGTTAGACGATCGATTCACTTTAATTTTTATACTTACGGAGCTAAACGTGATGAGCTGATCGGAAGTTGGGATTTTACGCACTTGTACGACGGAGACAATACATATGGGTATCACGTCCTCTTAATATTAGTTATATTACTCTTAGTTAATATTACTATAATATGGTAAAACAAGTTCAATAAATTAATTGTAAGAAATTGTACACATTTGGATAAAATATATTGAACGTATATTTTGCAAAGTTTACTTTTGCATGAATACAACTATAATGGCTGTGTAGCTTTAATTTTTATGCTCTTAATTAATCGATAAAGGACTTTTACGAACCCAATTTATTACCTTCTCAGGTTTTTTTTTTGAGTGTGTAGATGTAGGATGTATATTATTTTCATTTTTACAATCTAACAACCCATCTAAAATATTTATATTATATGAAAATACATTAAAATTCAGTGTCTAATCTTTTATAGTCGTATAGGCTATTTTGGTTACCTAAATAAGAGGTAAGTTATTACACTAAAAATAAATTCATAACTATAAGTATATATAAGCCGCCCACATAAAAATTTCGGCCTATGTACTATTATTTTAGCCCCATACAATCATACAAAACTTTCAAAAATATAGAACCCGTTAAAAGCGATATGAGTGTCCCGTATACCATTTATATATTTATTAAATGGTTAACCTACACCTTAAATTACTATAAAATAAGTATTTCTATCAAAATTTCAAAAATTACAAATAAATTTCAACAGCCTCTAAAATAGCCGGGCCCATGTACTCCAGGTCCTACAGCCCCCTCCCTACTTGGGGGCCCTGCATCTAAGCCTAACTACTGTAACCTACTATTATTATATTATGATTAACGTTGTTATCTTCAAATATTAATTTGTATATCGGAATTTGTCAGTAAACAAATACAAATATTTTAAAAAAGGTCACATATTACCTATAATTTATCATAATACGATGTTAGAATAATTCATATCGAATATAGTTTGAATATTATGAATAATATAGTATTTCATACCTATCTGTGTTAGACAATATTTTTCATTGTTCTTGTTTTGGCATGGTTTTATTCTGGTTACTGAATAGTCACTGAACCCTGGTAATTGGATAGTACTGTGTTATATTATTATTAAATAGGTATTATGTAGTATTAAAATGTAAAATAAGCAATAAATCAATTAGGCAATAACTACCTGTCTAAAATATTCAATCGTTGTGTATTAAAAGTCGTGTAAAAGATACTTCTAAAAGTAGTCAAGTACAGATACAAACACTTATTTTGAAAAGTATTTAAAATACTTATTTGAATAGGTGTAGGTACTCGGCAATAAAATTATGTGACAACAAATATAAGTAGGTACTATTACTAAATAGTATTTATAGATAAATTATTAAAATACTTTAAAATGTTTTATAAAATATATTTTTATTTTGAAAATCGACTGAACCGATTTTCACGTTTAGCTTTAATTTATTTATTTTTTATTTTGCTCCGTATCACTTTGTCGTAGTATTTTCGGTTGAATAAGATTCACAGTAAAAAGTATATTATTATAATATGTTTTATAATTTCAATTTTTATCGTTTGTTAGATTTTCGTGCATGAAGAAGGCTATTTAACTAGCGTTTAAAAATATTACGTATATATTATTAATATTTATCACTTTCTATTCTGGACCTATTGACTATAATTTCAAACTATTGTAGCTTATCTAGCTACTCTTTTGACCGTTCGACAAATAAAAAACACGCAATTGCATATTATAAATTCGGACCCTATAGTTATGACTAAATAATATAATTTATATAAAATATTAATATATTCGAAATAATATAAAATAAGTGGCGATTCTCGTCCACACGAAACTACTATACATGTGTGTAATAAAAAATATTTAGTGATTCTTACCCACAATAGATAAATGATAATATATATAAAAACTAACACAGTTATATAAAAAAAAAATCGCCTGGTTTAGCATTGGTAGTACATGAGTCGGACTAATTATATTTCGAATAGGTCGATAAATCTTCGTACGTAGTGGTTATCTATAATATTATTGTCATTATAAGTAGAGTTTATCGGTAACTGGGTCATCAGCGTAACTTTTCTTTATCAAATTAAAGCTAATAAAAATGAATTCTGCTATCATCAAAATTGATTATATAATATTACAATACCTACTCGAGAAACAATGAACACAAGAATTAGATAACGAACAAATTAAACATGATTTTGCTATGTATTAAAGCTAGAAAAAATAACTTTCTTAAATTATAAGACTTCTTTTTTTGTAATGAATATAATAATTTTATTGATCAGCTTTAATTCTATATAATTTAGATATGGAAAACGTTTTGAGCGACGAATGAGACCTACGTTGTATGTGCCGTTTTCTATTTTGGCGATGACGGAAACTACGTGAATTTAACAGCTCAACGATGACAGTAAACTTTTAAAACAGTTCAACAAATCCTCCAGAGAGTTTTTATAGTAAATACAGTAGTAATAGCATATTATAGTTAGATTAATTAGAGTTCCATTAGAATATTTGAAACAACTTTAATACAAAAAAAATATTAAACAATATATACTTACCTACCTAACATTTAACTACTTTAACTATTATTATTTATACTAAAAAAGTGCAATCAGTAAAATTGTATAATAATAAATACAATTAATAGCCATGCCCCTTACTCGTGTCTCGTCACCGTTTCAATTCGGTAAAAAAAATTATATTTGAATTACGATACACAAATACCTGAACAATTTTACAGTTTTCTTCATATACATAAGAACACTGTTAAAATGTTAATAATACAATTAAATGTTTATAATTTCTCATAAAAACAAAACAGCCATACATATATAATATCAGAGTTGAGATGTTTAAAACATTTTGTTTTAAACATCTAAATTGATCAATCATGGTTATGTTTAAAACGTTTAAAACAAATGATTTAAACAACATAAAAAAAACAGTTTAAAACAGAAAATCATCATTTATGTGCATATAACTTATTATTTGTAAGTTCATACTGGCAACTCCTATTTATTATTATTTTTTATTTCATAAACAAATTTAAAATTTATAAAATGTATAATGATAATTTTACTTATTTAAATTACTAACACTTCAATGGTTATATAATATATTACTTCTGTAGTTCTGTAGGTTATATATTTATTAATTATTTATTTATTTATTTGTTTAAATTATTCCATTTTCATCACGTCTTCGTCCCGTGAACATGTTTTTTATCTTTTAAGTTTTATTTTGTTTCACACTGTCGCTAATGTAGTAATGTCAGATGCAGAAGAATAACTCAATAACATCAAAATTAAATTTCATTGATATCATATCATATAATTACCTTTATCATATTTCATAATCGGAAATATTGTAGTGCAAACCCGTCAAAATTGAAAATAGTAAATACAGTAATCAGTATTCTTTATCACGATGTAGATAACAGATCAGTTCTTTATCATCAATCATTATCAAAATAATCAAAAACGATTTTTAAGTGTAAAACCGATAGCCGTGGTTAAATTACACGTTAAGTTATAAAAAAAATTATGACATTAAATTATTAAATAAATGATTTTTTTTTTTTAATAAATTACATATTTTGTTTTAAACTCGATTAAATCTTGTTTTAAACATGTTTAAAACAGCTGAAAAAATCATTTAAAAAAAACATGTTTTAAACAAAAAAATCATGTTTTAAACGATTAAAACAATTTTTTTGATTTTTTTAAAAAAACCGTGTTTTTAATCAACTCTGAATTAATATACAAAATAATCCGTTGTCCTATTTTGTGTCTATTATATAACGTTAAATTATATCAACAATTTTAAGTATCATAAGTCATACATGTGAAATAGTCGTATAATACTTCCATAAAATATACAGTATGAATAATGTTATTGGATTATATAAAAGTGTATATTATATTATCTCAGTGGTTGTAAAAGACACGTCGAATCAGAATTGTTGAGGTATTGCAAGCCGGCCGTTGAAGTACACGTGCACACGATATTACAAACTATGTTTCTGAGAACCTTGGATAGTGCAGTGGGGGGAGGGGTGTATTGTTTGGCAGGTAGTGGAGCGCCATGCGGTGGTCTGGTATTTAGAACACTGTTAAAATATTAATAATACAATTAAATGTTTATAATTTCATATAAAAACAAAACAAACATACATAAATACTATA